ACTTCATTAATACTTCGCAACCATTTGTTTATGAAGGTCACCTTTAATCAATAATCTTCTACGTTATTCACCTTTTGCTTCTTGTTCGACAAAAAACGTATTCAAAGAACGGTGCAGCCATTACCCTTGCCTTGATTCTCTTATGCTTCTTCTAATTGTTCCACCTTTTTTTCCTTGTAAATTTTAATATTCACAGTCAGCTAATGCTAGTCCTTTTTATTACCCTTGAGGGATAGTCTTCACAATTATTTCTTATTTATCCGTTTTATATTGAGCTCGAAAGCCCGTCCGAACTTCACCAGATGCCAAACAGTTCTTCTCGCTATCTTGAAATTAAAAAGCAGACAGACTTCTCATTCTTACTCAATTTCCCTCTTCTTCTTCCTGTTGCTCTCTCTATAACGGCTTGCCGCTACTCTCACAAAAGCAAGCATAGATCCCGCAAAATCATACGACTTTGTCTATGCTTGCAAAAGCAAAAGGAAAAAAAAGGAGTACCGCAAAATCATACGATTTTGCCTGTACTTGTAAACAAGGAAATCAGAGAAGAGCAAAATAAACATATCCCGCAAGATCATGTGATTTATAAACAGTACTACAAAATCGCTTGATTTTGTCTAACGGCATGCCGTTATTCCGATACTTGCGGTTGATACAGACCGACAGACACCCTACCCAAGGTTTGTTCGCGGCCGTTACACAGTTTAGCCAGGGATGCCTTCAAAAATACAATGGTAGCACCGTGTTAATGCATAAAAACAGGGATGCTAAGATAAGTTAAAGGCGATGCAAATTAAAGGAGAAGTAAACAAGCGAACTTCGAATTCTGGCAAATTAAAGGAGAAGTAAACAAGCGAACTTCGAATTCTGGCAAATTAAAGGATAAGTGAATGAGCGATCACTTGTTAGAATGTAAATATTGAAAATATTTATTTTCCTCCAATAGGATGGCTTATATATCCACTCAAAATGTTCTGCATTCTCAATTAACAAGTTATATATACTATATCCAAAGTTTAAGTGATAATAAATAAAGAATGCACAGTACAGTATAAAATTGGGTGAGAAAATTAACTTATGTTTTGTATCTATCGCTGAATTTACGCGCCCAATTCATCAAATTCAAATATTTCTGCATTTGTTGTAAGCGCTCCTTATACTTTCGAAAAACTATCCAAAGCAATTCCATTTATTTTGGTGTCAGTATCTCAATCATGAATCAATTGTAAGCATCATCTTTGTAAGCATTAAAAAAACTCTCTCTCTATGCGTTCAGAATCTGCATTGCCCATATTAGTAGCAAGTGAAACTAATTAAGTCATTTATCGTATATAATAATAAACACGGTGTTAGATTAAAGATTACTAGCTTTTTCCTGGTTAGCGTCCTCGTAGTACTCACTTGAATCTTGATGCTATTGCCCTTAAACTTCGGAATGGGACGCAAACATATTTCTTGTTTTCTCTTATCTTGGAGTCGTTTCTCTTTCATAATAAAATATTTCTCCCTTTTACTGTTTTTGCCTTCTAAATATATAAGCTCTGGAAAGGGTATAATTGTCACATCATATGTGCCACTGCAATATGTGATATAACAAAACTGAAGATTAACAAAGATATTCGCATATTCTAAAAAGCGGTTGAAGTTCTAACAAGTGAAGAGTAAAAAACTCAATTAAAGTTATTACCAAATTTATTTATTAAGAATCATATACTAATAATTATTTATTATTTTATTTATACTTGTTCGAGACTGAGTTGACTTGCAATGCCCTACAACGGATAAAGCATGCTAGCTAAAAATACTTTTGAACTGATTTCATTCTTTGAATCCAACTGTGGTAATTCAAAATCGGCTTTATTATATGCTGTAAAACTATTAATTATGGCAGGCAAAGGTGCCGTTAAATACAAATTCTTCGCTATAATATAGCAAAAATTATAATTTATTAATCATTAATCGTTTCCTTTCTGTATATCAAGCTAATCACGAGATTTCCCTCCTTAGTGATGCTGGTCATAAAATTTTTTTTTTAAATATTTTTTATTCACTTTGCAATAGAAATAGTTACGATAAAATAGGCATATATTATAGTAACTTTCTAATTTTGCTTTTTGGTACTATCTTCGCTTAAATCCTAAAAGACTTGCTAAAAGGGAAGATGAAAACGCCAAAATGTATTATATAAAATCCCCCTTTATAGGGCTAACTATCCCTTAAATTTATAAATGAGTAAGATATAGGCAGCAATGATTTTCATTTTCAGCGTCATATTCGGCGTTGGGCAAGGAAATTTTCAGTTGTTTTTTTTGGAAGAAGTTTTTCATGTGCTAATAATTTTAATAATTTAGTAGATAAGCTATGGAAAAGTGGATATTTTTAAATTCAATTAGGACGAAGATACAAAAAGAATCTTGAGTGTTTTTGATCGAAGGAAATCAATTTGCAATAAAAACGGGGTAAAGTGAAGTAAAAGAATAGAAAAATACGCATGTGAAAATTGGCTACAATATATCCGCCATTGTGAAGTTGAAACAACGACAAAACGAAAGAAGAGAAACATATCGGAACGAAGGCAAAGAAGAAAAGGAGAAAAAAGGCTGGCAGAAAATAGAAGAAGCTTGGTTAATAATTGCGCACACGCGAAAAATTTTTGCAAAATAATATAAATTCAATAAAACGAGAAAAAAACTATTTTAAATTATTGAGAAATATATTAATTGAATGCTATAGATCGACGACATTCTGAATTTGTTAAAATTATAAGGAATTTATGCAGATTATAGCGATAAAAACACACGAAAAAAGTGACAATAAAAGTGGGCAGTAGCCAGCAGAGCAGCGTCAGAGACAGAAAGCTCCCCCCGCAGTATTTAATATGGTTAAGCTAGTTAGTCAGTGAGACAGGCAACAGCAGCAATACTAGCAGCAGCAGGCAAAGCTAGTCAGAAAAGTAACGACATTTATAACGAAGTCTGTAAAAAGCAGCGCTAACGTCGACGTCTTAGAATTAAAGAAATTCTGGTTAAGTGAGGTGGAGGAGGAGTGTTGCGTGCCCGATAGAAAAAGTGAAACTATTAAATATAATCAAAAAAAAAAAAAAAAGATAATAATAAAAAGAAACAAAACGAAAATCAAATGCAAATCAATAACTTGAAACAGTTATGCACAATAATTTGGTGTGTGATCTCATTTAATTAACCATCAAAGGATTCGGAAGGTTCAGAGCGCTGCCCTGAAGTGACAGCGTGCACAGAGAATCGAGTCACTGGACTGATTACAGGATTTAAAGTTATCGTGAATTCCCGCAAAGAAAAGTTGTATATTAACGATAGAACACAAGCTGTTTTGAAAATGTATCCTGCACCGGTGCGTCACCCTTCAACGGGGGTAAGAAATAAAATTCTTGGATGGATTTATGTTAATATCTCTTTTTAACCCTACTAACATTGCTTTCCACTTTTGTTTTTTTAATTCTTATATACAAAACCATAAACGATTGCATTTTTAATGAATTTTTATTTTGTCCTCTGTGGTTTCTTTCCATACCTCGATCTTGACAAATGTGCCAATTCGCATAATAGGGACCACAACCACAAGGTCCGCACAAATTTACTTTTCACGACGCAATGGAAACCATCAAACAGGAATACAATTTTATGCAGACACAAAATCACTCGTAAGTATAAGATAGAAAAACAACAGCAATAATAATAGTAACAACAACAAGACAAATCTTGTTATGACAATACAACGACGGCCCATGTTAAGGACAGTCAAGCAAGTGATAGACTGGCTGCGAACTAAGTATAGTGCGTGCTTGTGCCTGTGTATGTATCTTTGTGTGCAATACTGCTCTTAGCAAATAACAGAGCGCAAAACACGTTACATTATTTTTTTCTTGCTTGACCATTCGTTCCGCTGTAATAATGTTCGGCTTACTTGATAAACATTTGTTCTGTCAAGTGTTCCTTTACGGTAGTAAGTAAAATTTTGATTTTCGAAAAATTGAGAAAAGAAATTTTTATATGTTATTCAGTAGTAGTGTTACGTGTGCTTTAAGGTGTTAGTTTGATACGCGTGATTGATTACATTCAGCTGCTAAAAATCCTTTGTCCAACCACAAGTATTTCTATGAAGATAAATTTGTTTTGAGATTATCAGAGCCAAAAAAAATTTTTTTTAACTTTTTTTTTTAATATATTCAAAGCGGTAGGTTAAAGAGGTGTTTGCTAGCTTGTACATATTGTAGAAGGTAAGCAGCTAAGTTCTGTTATGCGCTCATAGACGTATGTATACTAAATTAATTAAATGCTTATAATGTCCTTGAAGATTTGCTGGGCTCAAATTGAAAATCCTCTAAACTGACTTCTACTTGGACTAAACTGGAATAAATATTAACTTTATTCATCGAGCCAGTGTAATTTTTTGTTCAGGAGTGTTCTCCTGGTAGTGCTGCCTAAGCTCTTCTGGTACTTTGTAGTAAGCATGTCTCTTGGTTGCAAGATGTAAAACAATTTTAAATCTTATTAAGTTTAACGACCCTGTATTATCATATTTTAGACTAATAAAATAAATTCTTAGGCTAAACTAAAACAAATTAAAGCTGTCGGGTCTATTTCAGAAAACAAAATTAGCTTTAATAAGACAATACGTTTAATTAATATTACCTTCCGTAGCTGATTTCAGAATGTCCATAGGATTCATTGTTCTTGTAAAGAAAAATTTTACGCAGTCATAAAAAATGTGCTTTATTTTAAGAATTTGTCCTCAGATGTAGATTGGAGACTGAGTTTTTAGGATCCACTGATATGCTGCAATTGCCAGCCGAAGACGAATTCTCGCAAGTATTTTTATTTTGATTTTTTCAATAGTAGTTGGATATAACGAAACTAGATAATGGTTGCAGATAATAGCATTGTAGAATTGCTTCCATAATTTTGTCTATAACTTTCCTTGTAATGTATCTTTGAAGATCCATTTTTTCATGCTTTCGAAACTCTTTAATTAAGATATAATTGTAATAAATCAAAAATAGTGTGTCTCTAGTTTAAATAGGATTGGCGGAATTTTCTGAGATTGATACAAAAGATCAAAGATCAAAGTTTGATACAAAGACAAAAGAGAAAGAAGACACGTTGCCATTTTGAGTTTTAGTTGCTTTGGTGGGTGTTTACGAAGTTTTTTAATTGATTTGATAAGAGATTTTTCAATCAAAAAAATTCTTCTTCCATTTTATATGGCTTTCGATTAGATGAAATAACTTATATTATACTTTTTTTTTTTTAAGCTTTTAAAGACTAGAAACTAAACTAACAAAATGAATTAAGTTCAAATTAAATGCGACTGAAATGCAAAAATCGCGATTGCATTCGAATCGTTCTCCATCGCTCAATTCCAATGTGAGTTCACTACAGTACAGTACCGTTAGGTATGACTGTTACACATGCGTTACTTAGCTGGAGACGTCCTAAAATTTTAGTCAAATTTTATCGGTATCTATATATTATATAATTTGAAATTCAATCCATTTACATATTTCGTCGTTGAGGAGGAGTGTGTTCAGTTTATAACGGAAGCAGATCACTGATCCCAGACCTAAAAACGCGGAATGTAGTACGTAAACAATATTTAAAAATATCATTATGTGATCAAAAAAACACATACTAAAACACATCATCCAAAGCACACCTATTGTTAGCAATTTCCTGTAGTTGATCTGGAAAGAGTGCACTGAGATAGTTCAATTAGAGACAAGTATAAAAAATCCTTACTAATAGACCGGATACGAGTCGGTTATTATTAAGGTGAGCAGTGCAGCTTTTCCGAATGTCGTCTCGTTTTTAGAGCATTGGGGTTTTGACACATTCCACTATTATTTCGAGCTGCAGCAACAAATCGTTACTTTAGAGGTTTTTAACTGATCTGATGCAGTGTTGGTAATAGCGAACAGTTGAAACGATCTATCTGCTTACCTAGTTGTCCGTTGCAAGGACAGTTTCAAAATTTTATGTAGGGATACAAAAAATTTCCTTTCTCATTTACTTTATCCACCCTTGAAGCTTGGCTAAAAAGAGGAAAAATAAAATATAGATGTAAAATACTATTCTCTAAAGCGCGTCAATCGTTACCTTAAATAATTCGTTGTTAAAATTTCTTTGATAGATTCAAAACTTAATTTGGTGTCGAGAAGAGTGTTTATTGGAGAGTGAACGCAAAGTAATACATAAATTTATTGATTTATATATATATATATATATATATATGTCTTATTTACTTTTATACTTTACTGTATCTTATTGATTTTATACATAATTTATTTTATTTATTTTTGTATAATTTATTTTGTATATTTATACGTTTCTCTCTGTGTTTTTGAAACTCTTGCGATCGTCATTCGGTTGGTTGGCACCTAGCTTTTTTCTTTTCCTTCTTTTCGCATTTAAAATTTTCGTAGCATTTGCTTGCATTTTGTTATTATCGCCGAGAGTATATGTATATGTTGTTATTGCTGTCGTTCTCGTTGTCGGCCGTGGTGCTGAAAGTGTTCAATTCAAAGAAAACTGTGTCAAATATGTTTGTGTGCTTAAGAGCGCCTTTAACTATTAAGTGAGGAGGATCTTTATAGGACTTGATGTGTACATGTGCGTGTGCAGATGATGTATATACATATATGTATTGTAGGAGCATATGTATGTATGTGTGTTGAGTTCATTATGTTTTTAGAATAAACGAGTACTGTGTTTGCGCGTGAGCTTGTGTATGGGATGAGTAATAATAAACAAACGAAATAACTAAAGCACATATTAAAATACATATGCAATAAAATTTTTTCATACATGCATAGTCAGTATATATACATATGTACTCATTATATATATAAGTATACATGTATGTAGGAGCAATCTGCGGTGTACAAAAACTAAAGGAAAAGTAAAAAGAACAAAAAACATTACTTCTAAACATACGTAAAGAAAATAAGCAAAAGAACCCGTAATGTGTTAAACCTTTGGTGTTTTTGTGATTATAACGATGTTATTGTTGTTGGTGTTGTCGGTGTTAGCTTCTCTTTTAACCATAATCTTAGCATTGCAACAGCTATTTGTATATAAATACATATTAAGCAGAAACGGTCAGTCAGTCAAGCAAGCAAGCAAGCAGGCAAGTAAACTGACTAACTGACTGACTGGCTGGCAGGCAAGCAGCTATCATTTTAGAAGAGGTTAACAACGACAGCAACAACTACCACAACAACACTGCACAACAGCATCCAAAAACCAGTTTATTAGACTCTTAAATTCTGAGTTTGTCTGTTTTTTTTTTCTTTCTCTGGTGTGTATTTTGGTTTAAAGTTTGTAATTGTTGTTGCTTTTTTATTGATGATGTTTTTGTGGCGCAAATGTAGGATAAATTTTGCCAACACATAAACACACGCAAAACATTGAATAGAATATACACATATGTACGCGTGTATGCAGTATGAGTGAGTGTGTGTTAATGCTTGCGTATACGGTTTACAAACAACGCTTTGTATGCCGCAAAACAAGGCGTGTACACACGCGTATTTATGTACATATATTTTGCTACCGTACGATGTGGAGAGCGGGCAGCAAACAAATAAACCGATATACGCATAAATAAAATATAAGAATATATATGCATACATATAGTTATATGCACATCCATGTATATATACATGTATATGTAACAATATGTATATATTGTATATTAGTAGAAAAGAGATTATGTTGTGATCATAATAATAAGTATTCTGAAACCATGAACGATCGTTTCGTATCACTGTAAATACAGATCACATTTGAACCACTAAATATAGCTCCGTGTGTATGTATGTCTGTGCAGTTGCATATATATCTCTATATGCTGCGCGTACAACTTTTTTTAAATAATTATAATGCACACATATAAAAATGTCTGTGATATGAAATGAGATCGATCCCAACTTAACAATATTTACTATGATCACAATATCATCTCCATCCTGCTTTATTTTTCTAAATCTGGCTTGTATTTATGCGTGCACATATATATATGTAGGACTAACGAATTTCACTTTTCCCTTTTGCAAGTCTGCAAACGGTAGAAGAAAACGTCAACCAATGTGAAAGTAAAGAACAAGAACCAGAATTCTGTTTCTTTAAAAGAATTTTAAATGACTATGCCTACCATTTTAAAAGGCGAGATGAGAAGATGAAATTAAATAGGGTGACTATCTTCTGCGTCTTTAGATTAATTCCTTAAGGATCTTTGACTTGAAACACGTTTATGGTGAAATTAGTCTACGCCTACGAAATATTTTAAATAAATGATCTATAAGAAATACTGAGCTTGGCGTACGGGAATGTTGCATCTGTCAATGTAAAATGCCAAAATGATTATCTGGACGTCCATAATTAACCACTTCATTGGCGGTGGTGGATCGATGGATTTCAATGACTCGCTCCGAAAATGGGTTGCAAATTTCACTTCATCTCATATGATATAGAGTAGCTCAGTAAAGGGTACATACATCAAAATTGCGTCAACGGGTGGAGAGCCAAAAAATACATTTGCCAAACAAAAAAATAACAATCCAAATTTTTTTTGAGAAAAGTATATTAAATAAAAATTTATTGACGCTCTCAAGCTCAATAAAATTGCAAACGTGGTGGACCTTAAGAAAGCTTCATTTGTGGGAATGAAACACAATTGGAGAAATTGTAACAAAAAAATCGTTTTCCTTAATGCTAAGATAGACGTACACAAGTAATACTGGAAATTAAAGGTAGTCCAACAAAATATTAATTTTTAAATTTTACCCACAAATAAACTACTTATTAAACGATCTGTACTGATCTGTACACTTTTTTGGGGTTGTTTATAACTTTATTTTAAGTAAAAGAAACATTTTGAATTGTTATTTTGGTTTTGTTTTATAAGAAATATATTTTTGACCCTCAATCCATAAATGCAGTTTTCACTAACAGAAGCCGTAATTTTTCGTATGTAGACTGTATGTAGACTTTATTGAACTACTGTGTGTACTTTTTCATAAATACGAGGCTCTTGCGCCTGTTTTGGCATATTTTCACTTGAAAAACGCATTTATTGGGGAAAATTGGCGTGATATATATTAATCAAAGTATTTTCTATGATTTCGTGCAATTTTTCCCATTGTTTGGTGAAATCGTGTCGAAAGAACGATAATGGTTCGGCGGCAATCTAATTGTCGACCCATTCTCGCACTTATTCAACTTTTGGAAGCTGCGTGCGAGCGGTGCCATGCTACATCGATCTGAACAAGTGGTATTCAGAAAGCGGTATGTGTGGTGAGTGTGCTGGGTAGGGTAGGACTTCCCAAATAGCCAAACGCCCTAGAGAATTTACTAAACAAATGTTAACTCACGGATAAGACATTCTCCAATCTTCAACACAAGATCTCACGAAGGGTTATGGTTATTGAAAGCGAAATTCGATGAGATTAACAAAAACTCACGTATTATCCTCAGTAATATTATACCATCATGGACTGCGAGGAGTTACCTGCCGCGCAATATGGACTTTTCCTTCATGGTGGCTAGCACGGCTTTCTATAATACGTACTAAGGAAATTTTCTAAGAATATCTTTCCAAATCGTATAAAAGTTGCGCTTAAAAGATTAAAAGTGCTTCACGGACTCACGACAAGTTTTCAAATACCAGTTTGTACATAACTTTGGCCGTGTTTGTACGTGGGTTTCAACACTGTTTAATTCTAGTAACTAATGGTTTTGCAACTCAATTCTAATTTAAATTTTTATCTTTGTTCTATCTATATTTTTATACTTTACACCACTTGTGATGCACGGGTATATTAGGTTTGTGCTGATATCCGTCCGCCCGCCTCTTTTCTTCGGCTCAAATGGGACCACCTTCTCGACCACTTCACTTCCAAATGATCTTTGACGCTTGACTTCAATGATTATAATGTGTTCCTTAATTCTGCTGCCTACGCTATCTTAGCAATATTCAAATATTAGCTTAGCCTAGTATTCTAAGCAAAAATAAGAAGTCGGAGGAAATGATGAGCGAGGTTTCACTCTCACAATAACTAAGTTTAATCGTTTGGGTAGGTCATCGCATGTAAAGTCAAATGCTCATAAAGGGATTTCGGAATGCATGAAAGTTAATCTGATTTAAATTCAAATTAGATTCAAATATCATAAGAAAATTTCAACGACTCTCCCGCACATGACACCGCAGTGCGTTAGTAATAATGGCGGGAAGAAATTTGGGAAATACACAATTTCGAATAAATAGCATTTTCTAGAAACGTTTCTCCTTCGCATTAAAAGTGTAGTTAGTTAAACTAAAAGCGGAAACTTTCATATCCGCAGCTGACATCGGGAGGGGGTCGATTTGACGCTCGACAATATTTTCTTTTTAATTTTCTTGCTGGCAATTTTTTATAATGCTTTTGTAAGTTAATGTTTAAATACATGACCTTTTGGAATTTTTTCAGACTAAAATTAGAGTTAGAGAAACTAGCCACTGAGAAAACCGAAATGCAACGTCATTACGTCATGGTAAGATATCGATCGATTTAATAATTATTGATTTTTTTTATTAATTTTTAATTAATTTCGATTTTCAAGTATTACGAAATGTCTTATGGCCTTAATGTGGAAATGCACAGAAATGTAAGTAGTTGCGCATGCAATCCATATAAAGAATCCTTATTATCATTAATAATGCTTTTGTGATATTTTCCCGATCATCTAACAAAAAAAAACTATAGATGGAAATTGTGAAACGTTTGAACACATTAATCAATCAATTGGTGCCCTTCTTACAACCCGACCATCAACAACAAGTTGTGCAGGCTGTTGATCGTGCGAAACAAGTTACAGTGCAAGATTTAAATGTAATTATTGGGGTAAGTTGTCAAATAGCGTCATACGTTCTCCTCCTATTAATGACTTTCTTATTTAGCGGAAAAGGGAAAGAGATAAAAAATTACTGTTTTATTTGAACAAATCAATTGGTTTTAATTCATTTGACAGCAGACGACAGGGAGTCTTAGTGTGATTTAATTTGTTTTTCCTTTTCTTTCTTATTAATTTTTTTTCATTAATTAATTATATCTTTTAAATGTAATAAAAACTTCTTAACGCGCTCAATTGAATGTTCACAATATAGGACTATATGCGTGCATTTCGCCTGGAAATACGAACTTAAAACTGATCTTTCCATGAAAATGTTCTACAGTTCTAGTCGCGCATCGCTGATCTTTTTAGCTTTATCGTTTTTTGTATCGTCATCGATTCTCGCCGTAACAAAATTATAAGTAATGTTGGCTGTCGTAGTAAACTAGGACGTGCATACTCTCTAGCAACATGATTTTTTTCGCCAGGATGAAACTGCCTCTTATCGGTTATATGTGACATACAGAAATATCCACAACTGACTGGCGTTAGGAGAGGAAATGAATTAAACTAATTGCTTTCTACATTGTTTTCCGAAATTAGGATTACAGTTTCAAACTTTTTGCCTAAAAAGGCAATCTGCAATTGGAGTTGTTACTTTATATTAGCATTAGGTTAATTCACCTATAATTCGCTATTTTTTACCTTTCTCTCTACTAAGATCTCGAAGTCTTTATCGACCTAAACTTGCTCTTAAATTTCTGACTCCTCCTTTGCAAAAATAAATAAAAGAAATAGTTTCAAGACTACCGCCAAAATTTCCAAATATAACAAAAAAATGTATGTGAAGAACAATTTTTTTTGTAAGCTTAGTTCCTGTAGTCAGTTTGTAAAGCCAATTTCAAAGCAAGATTCTTCCGATTGTAAAGTTTAGAAATAAGGTTTCGAGATTCCATAAAGAAAATGTTTTCTTGGTCGGCGTAAACTTACGCATCAGCTTAGCGTTCAATGTTTCTCTGCCCGTTTATCATCTCTTGTCGGAGCGTTCAGTGCTACAGGAATTTGCTAAAGCATACATAATACTCGTAATTGATGGTGGATGTGATCGGTATACAAACACCATTGCAATAAGTAAATAGCTTTAACGATCGACTTATAAGAGATTTTGAGCTTAAACTTGTAGAAATATTTCCTAGGGCCATTTTAAATGTAATTACAATACCCATTTACAGATTACAGGCGAAGGTTACATTCTCACTCACTCCGTTGTATATTTCATGTAACCATGAATTTATAAGCGAAACTTGATCACTTGATCATAATTGATGGTAATGTTCTTCCTGGTTTTATCTTATAAATACTTACCTTTACGCCCCACAGTTATTTATTAGTGATAAAGATAGTTTTTTAAACCAAGTGAATTTTTTAAAAAAAAGTCGCAGTGATTTGATGGCGGCAGCTGTTGGTGTCTCTAAGAAAGAAAACTTTAAGACACATTTCACGAATTGACATATTAGCTACAGTGTATAATAATCCTCGTTTTTTTTCTTTTATTCAAACAACTCTCATAACAATTTCAATGGATGGACAGTGTGATTAATGGTATCGCGATTTAACAATTTTTATTGTTACCTGTTTGTGTGAAAAAAATTTGAAAATCCGCAAATCTGTTCGCTGCAATACGATATCTGATGATGAAAGCGTCGGTATATTGCTTCATTATTATTATTCTGTAATCAAGTGTAGAATACCGAGCAATTAGATGCATAAAAATGCAGAGTACTTGTTCCGTACCGAAAATTAGAATATGTTATTCCTGAAAAGCAATCGTCCTTATTATTTTCAATTGGAGCGTTAAGGGGTTAAGAAAGAACAACACATGAAATACTTTTTATTATATATTTTCCTTGAAAATCCTTTAGCAACAACAGCAACAAGGAATACAACAATTCTTAGTAAGTTTTTGTTGTTTTTATAATTTATTTTTATTTTGCTTTATTATTGTGTTGTCTCACAAGCTGTTTTCATCCTTGTGGAGTCTATGTGAATATATAGCTTTTGTCCTCTAATAATCAAACTAGTGTTGTGTTGTATAAGCGTGTTGTGTTGTTGTTATTTATTCATGTTTGAAATGTTCTCCTCCTTTTCATGTCCAAACACACTCATCATTGCGACTGTTATATGGTTATAGTTCAGTTAATCATTTTTTTCTTTTTTGTTTATATGTTATGCCAACTAAAAAAACATCCAAACAGGTAAAGACTCGCTCAGCGTTCATCATTTATATGCATCAACGACCCTCATTATCCGTTCTACGAACTCACTTAAAACTGCTGTCAAATTTATATATGTTTCGTTTTTTTTTTTTTTTTTTTTTTTTTTTCTTTGCAAATCTAATAATAATTTGTTATGAGAGCTTAAAAAAAGCTTAAAAGAAAAATCTGTGATAATAAATATTTAAAATATGATTCATTGGTTTATGTTTGTAAATTACATTGTGTGTTACATTTATAATATTTGATTATTTTCTTATTGATTTTAGCAACAAATACATGTTCAACAAATGCCGGGAGTACCGGCTCAAGCTATGAGCGCGTTAGGCCCTCCTGGGGGAACGTTTGGCGCTTTAGGTGCTTCAATGGGTTTGCCACATGGACCTCAGAGTTTACTTAAGGCCCCGTCTGAACATCATAAACCCGACATAAAACCCTCAGGTCTCGAAGGTCCAGCCAGTGCCGAAGAGAGATTGGTAAGTCATTGCTAAAATTATCGATTGTAAACGTCTTTTCTTAATTTTTTTTATTTTCTTTTTATTTATTTATTTATTTATTTTTTTTTTTTTTGTGGTTTTAGCGTAATTCCGTTTCGCCAAATGACCGTGAGAAATATCGCATACGTTCTCCTTCGGAGATTGAAAGTGATGCCAACAAACGTCGAAAAGAAGACATAAAATTAGTGAGTACTTAAAAAAACCAAACAATAAAAAACAGTCTTCACGCTTCATTAAACTCTCTTTCGTTACTCGACAAGAGTGTTTAGCGTAATTGTATTATTATATACATATATTGATATGAAAATGTAATAACAAACAAAAATTAATTACAACGTAATAAATAAGAAAAGCTCAACTCACCAAGAAATTTAAATGAAAAGAAAAACAAATTTTTCAAATAAGGGATATTATTTGTTTAAGGTGCTTATTACCTGCTGCTCACTTACTCTCTTTTCTCTCGCTCGCTCAAAAATGTAGCTAATTAGAGTAGAATACAATTCCAAAGTAGTGTGAATGGTTTTTTGTGCTTTGTGCTGTCTCTTTCGAAAAAAAAGAAAAAAAAAAAAAAACAATTTTTCTAGCATTAAAATATAGTTTTCGTTATTCCTCTGCATCTGTTCCCCTTTACATTTTGTCTATAAATACTATGCGACTGCTCTTTCTCTCTCTTTCGCTCGCTAAAACTTTCTTTTTAAACTTTTGAATTTGGATTTAATTTTTTCGTTATATTTTGATTTTGAGTTCTTTTTCTTAATTTATTTTCATTTTCGTAATGAAAGTTGTGTTGAAAAGTTTTCTGAGAAAAAAGTTCGCTGTTAACAATTATTTTTATTTTTCAAAATTTTTCCAGGACGATGAAGGAGAGAAAAGCGATCAAGATTTAGTCGTAGATGTTGCAAATGAAATGGTGAGTTGAGTTTCATTGTTACATCACTACTGCCGCGCTACACTACAGTGTGCTTGATCAAAAATCTAGCGCAATATCAATCATATAAATGAATGATGATGATCATGATGATAATCATTAAAATGATAATGATAATGATGATAAATATATTTATTTCGGTTTGTGTTTTTTTTTTAACTTTCAGGAATCACATTCACCTCGTCCCAATGGGGAGCATATGTCGATGGAGGGTCGCGATCGTGAATGTCTAAATGGCGAACGTTTGGATAAACCGGGTAGTAGTGGCGTTAAACCACCCACAGACAGACCACCATCTCGCTCAGGTTCCAGTTCATCGCGTTCAACACCCAGCCTTAAGACAAAAGACGTAAGTTGATGCTTGCATATTGCGGTGCGGGTTATTGATGAAAGCATTTTTTTTTTTTTTTTTTTTTTTTGGAACTTGTTAATAATATAGATGGACAAACCAGGCACACCGGGTGTTAAAGCACGCACTCCCACTCCCAACGCTGCCCCACCAGTTCAGGGTGTAAATCCGAAACAAATGATGCCCCAGGGTGGTCCTCCGCCCGCTGGTTATCCAGCCTCGCCCTATCAGCGTCCGGCTGACCCCTATCAGCGACCACCCTCCGATCCGGCTTATGGACGACCGCCACCATTACCCTACGATCCCCATGCGCATGTAAGAGCCAATGGTTTTCCGCATGCCCCCGTACTAGCTGCTGGAAAGCCGTACGTATAAATAATTAACTTAAAATAAGAAAAAAACAAACGCATTAAACACCTTCTTTCTTTTATAACAGTGCGTATTCGTTCCAAATGAACGGTGAGGGTAGCCTACAACCGGTGCAGTTTAATCCTGATGCTCTGATGGGGGTTGGCATCCCCAAGAATGCACGTCATATCAGTGCATTGTCGCACGGCGAAGTTGTTTGCGCTGTGACCATTTCGAATCCCACTAAATATGTGTACACAGGCGGCAAGGGTTGCGTTAAAGTGTGGGATATTTCACAACCGGGGAATAAAAGCCCCATTAGCCAACTGGACTGTCTGCAACGTGACAATTATATACGTTCGGTGAAATTATTGCCGGACGGACGCACTTTAATTGTGGGTGGCGAAGCGTCCAATCTCTCCATATGGGACTTGGCCAGTCCTTCCCCGCGCATTAAAGCGGAGTTAACATCATCGGCGCCAGCTTGTTATGCATTGGCCATAAGTCCCGATTCAAAAGTTTGTTTCTCATGTTGTAGCGATGGCAATATTGCCGTCTGGGATTTGCATAACGAAACATTGGTGCGTCAGTTTAATGGGCATACAGATGGTGCCTCATGTATCGATATTAGCCCGGATGGTGGGCGTCTGTGGACTGGTGGTCTTGATAACACAGTACGTTCATGGGATTTGCGTGAAGGACGACAACTGCAACAACACGACTTTAGTTCACAGATTTTCTCATTAGGTTACTGCCCGACAGGTAAGCATATAAATGCACTTGAAGAAATTGTTAACTTAAACTGCACTTATGTTTTTGCACAAAAAACAATTAGGTGATTGGTTAGCGGTAGGTATGGAAAATTCTCACGTTGAAGTCTTACATGTCACCAAACCGGACAAATACCAATTGCACTTGCATGAAAGCTGCGTATTATCGCTGCGTTTCGCCACATGCGGCAAATGGTTCGTTTCCACAGGCAAAGACAATTTACTCAATGCATGGCGAACACCGTTTGGAGCGAGCATATTCCAGGTAAAAAGATATAGGATTTAAGATTATAAATTGTCATATATACATTTTCTTTTTCTTTTTTCACAGACCAAGGAAACATCATCGGTACTTAGCTGCGATATATCTACTGACGATCGATATATTGTGACGGGTTCGGGTGATAAAAAAGCAACCGTTTATGAAGTCATGTACTAATGTTTTTTTATACTTATTTGCTACAAACAAACACAACAACAACGATCGCTTGACTTGATTAGGAGGTTTTCATTTCAACTTACGGATGAAACGAGATAATTTCTATTAACTAAATTTTTATAAACAAATTGAAACTTAAACGTAGTATCATTATATTTTGAAACATTTCTTCGGCTTTTAGAGCCTCTTTGCAAGTCATTAAACATATATATACACACACACACATTGATATACATACACATTCTCGCAAAATGAACAGCAGCTACAACGCCAGTACCAACAACAATTACAGTCATAAAGAAATCTAAAAAAAAAAAAAAAAATTATAAATATGAATTGGGAAAAAATTCTTTTTTTAGATTTTAAGTAAGTTAAGATATCACCATCACACCACCAAACACATACGCAAAAATGAAAAACAAATGGAAGTTTAGATAAAAATTTCAAAACAAAATTATTAACGCCGGCCTAGAGCGGTAACAGAAAAGTAAGATGAAAGTAGAACAAGAAGGGCAGTGACAATGTTAGATAAAGAACAGTTTAAGCAATTATGCGCTGCTGCTGTCGCTGATTACTTTCCATGTGTTCGTGTATTTTTTGTTATTGTTAGTTTTTTACTTTTTTTAGTACTGCATCTTCTACAATTCAATAAAGTAATGTATGGCAATGATAGTGATTAAACAAACAAAGAAGTCTTGAAAATAAATAAATTCTATAAGTAACAAAACAACAAACCAATTTATTCTCATAATGGTTTATAATTTAGAAGATGGAAGTGAATGCGCATATGAAATAAAAAAAAAACAAAAAATTAAGAAATGTATAAAGAATTTTCTTTAATCCAAGAATACCGGTAAACAGTATTTTATTACAATAACAAACAGCAACCCCAGGAGAAAGACAGCTACTTTAAAATTTTTTGTACACGAAATTTTCATTTAAAAATCAAATCCCCCAAAATCAGTCATTTATTAAGAACCAGCGGCATAGAATAACATGACGATGACACAACAACAAACAACCGGCTTATATATTTTAGATGTTAGTTTTTTTTTAATATTAGACATCTTTATAGAAACATATACATATAAATAAGATGAAAAAGTTTATATATATTAACAGAAAGCAAAAAAAAAAAAATGTTTTTTAAATATAAATATAAGAAACATTACAACTATTTTCAAATAGCAAAGTGTATTTTTTTGAAATACTTACGTTTAATGGAAGTTTTTATTAAGTTTCAGCTAAGTTTTGCTTTACCGGTTAGGTTTTTTTAGACGATAAACTACTCCTCTGCTACTACACCCTCCTTACTTGCTTAACAAATATACTTAAGTAAAAAATAAGTCATTAATCATCCACAAATCAGACATATATGTTTTCGTTTTTATTTTAAGTAATTTTTTTTTTAGAATGTAACATATATACATAGATAATAAATAAAATACAAAATATATTTTATAATGTCTTCATACAGGCGTTAAAGAGATAGACAAACAAATTTTTAAAACATCTTTACCTTGCTTTTTGTTTTATTATTATTTTTATTTTTCTTTTTTTACTTTTATCTAAACCTCATAACCCTGTGTAATTAAAATTTAAAGCATTATTGCTACTAAATAATAAAATATTTTTAATTTACAATAATTGCAAACATAGCAAAAAAACAATAAAATGAAAGTTTCGTAAAAATGCAAATATCTTAAATGCAAATAAAGTAATATTTGAAAAGTTTAATTCACGTGGTTATCTATGTATATAATTTATATATTATAGAAATTTAATATAAATATATATATATATATATATATATATACATGTATATATATATATATACATATATATATATAAAAGAGGAAGAAATTAGAGAAGCAACAAAAAATCTTAAATTTAATTATGTATAACTATAATGATAACAATTGATGATAAAAAAAAAAAAAAAAAATGAAAAATAAAAACTTATGTGTAATCCAATTATAAATGAAAAAAAAAAAAAAAACGGTGGCCTCTCATTTTTAAAATACATCAGTCTGATAGACATTTCGTCTTTTTGGTATCGGAGCATGTTGCTTACGCATTTGCTGTTGCAATGTTGATAATAACTCTCCACCATTGCCACTAATTTCCCGAAACTTATTTAAAGCTACTGGCAGTAGTTCTTCAACGAGGAATTGTTTGTTTTTTACCACAAAATTGGGCTAGAAACAAAAACAAACAAAAATTAAGTTATCCACGGCCCAAGTGGAATTATTTATTATTTGATTACGAGAAGACTTTGCCCGACATACGTATCCCCTAACCTGTATATTTAAATTCGTTCTTTTATATAACTTGTCAGCATTTCATAGAGATCACTGATAGGTAACGAAAGAATATCAGTTTGTATTTATTTTGCCTTTTATGAGAGTGAATCGACTCAGCCGATTTTATAAAAGTTTAAGAATAAACTTCACAACGTAACGTAACACAAATAATGTAATTAGTTTTCCAGTATTGAAAATATTAAAATTTAGTTTGTGTTTTAAATTTGATGGAACGGATTTTTTATGACCTAAAATTCGGTTCTAAATTTCACTTCAGTTCTAATGGTCAGGTAATTATTTGGTAACTGATTATGACCGGATGCGGTAGATTTTCTTATTACATACTTTCTAGAAGCGGTCGATGTGGACGGAGACAGAAGCAGATGCAGTTCGTATAAATTTCGATTCTCACTGTGCTTTACTAAATCATTGCAAAGTCTCTACAAAAATTGAGTCTATCTGAGTACGCTGTATTAAGAACCACCAACTGGTTTACTAAGCGATTTGAGGACGGTGGACAAAGATGGTCCATGTTGGCCCGTTAGAATGAACATGATAACGAGTAAAGACGACAACAGGCAAACAAATTACGAAAACAATTTAATTAATTCGCATTTTCTAAGACGCATAAAAGATGTCAGTGGTCTGTGAAACACCAAAGTTCCGCGAGGATAATTGTAAGGATAAATTCTTCTGGAGGCCGCCTTCTGTCGTTAAGTGCCGAAAACAATGTGTCTTCTTTAGATGATAGTAGCTTAGAAATCTCGATCGCTTGCATGTGTTAAGTCAATTTCTGGATCGGAGAGACGAAACTTTCTATTTTCTCAACATTTTTAATAGAAACTAAGTTTTTAACACATTTTCTCGTAAAAACCAAGTTTCAAGTATCAATCTATTCATAAAAGTTTGGCCATCTTTCAGTCGTTTTGTCTGTTTATGATAAACATTATCCCGGTCGCAAAAATTAAAATATTGACATTAGAAGTCCTTACACGTAGGCTAGAAGATGAGTCAAGCTGATAAAGGATATGCCTATGGTGCAACGTCAACTCATAATGCCTCTATTCCCAAATCCATAAAAAAAAAATTATTTGCACTTGCACGACTACAGACAAAATGATATTCCCTGATTGTGCAGTATCTTTATTAAAATGAAAAGATTGACCAACCTGCATAGCAGTGTAATCAAATTTGCCTTTTTGAAGTTCTTCTTTAAATAGAGGCAGGTATTTAAATCTTCTTGACGATTCGTCAACACTATCGAATTCAATCTACTTAATAGGCTTTCTTTACAATAATGCACTAATAATTAACAGACTTAGACTAATATATTAAGAACTCTAAGGCTAACAAGCAAGTTTCAAAGGCTTCATTTTAGCTGAAAGCGGATAGGGACAGCAAACATATGTATCAATTTGCAATATTTCAATATTTACTTTTTGATAATTTTATCATTGCATTTCTTGCAATGCTAATTCCAGACGAACGAAAATATCAACAGTGCTTAATTGATATGGAGGTCTACACTGTTCACGAATAAACACATTTAATGAAAGTTCAGAAAGTATACTTACGTCAACACTTAGACCAGTGGTTGGTTTGACCGCTAGTTGAGCTTGTAGCAAGTCGCTTAATAATATTTGACAGCTTGGAGATAAAGCTTCACTTTTGGACAAATAAGCACAATGATTGACCACTTGCAGGAAGTGTCTCGTAAAGTTTACCGTGGATTGAGTTAAATTAATCCAAGTATCTCCCGTAGCATGGGCACGCATATCCATGCCTAAATTATCAAATTCCATGAGTAAACGTTTTAAATTTGTTTTCGTATGTAAATTGTAAGGCTGCCAGACATCTTCTGTACGGCCAATTGTCTCTAAAAGGCGTGTTCTCGATTCTCTTATAAGTTCATCGAGATCGGCTCTTAATAAACCTTCGAGATGATAGGAAAGATCTAAACCGATTTCTGTTAGCTTTGCGCACGGGTTACGCACACCTTCTACACACTTGGCTATAGCCTCCAGATGACTACCTTTAGTTAAGTAGTGCTTTTTTAGTTGATTAGCAAAATATTGTAATTCAGCATTACACCAAACAACCAGAGCTTGAAAAATTGCCATGTCATAAACATATAAATAATTGTAAATAACTTTCCTGCTTACCACTAACGCATGCTGGTTGGTTTTCAAAAACATTTATAAAATCGCAGGCAACCTGAGCTAAATCACAAAAAAATAACTCGGAAATTTCACTATTATTGCGACGTGCTTCTCTTTGCGCTGTACGCAAAGCTATGGAGCAAACTTTTAGAACAGTACCGCATGCTTGGCGTGCTTTACCCATATTAACTAGAATTTGTGAACAACGACGGGACGACCTTAAAGCCACTTGTAAATTTCGAGCATGACATTTAGACAATTCCTTAAGTAAAACATCCATTAGTTGCTTTTCCAGTTGTCGGACACGTTCTTCAAATTCCAAAGCATTTACAAATGTTTTGTCTTGAGCCAAATATTCTTGACAACGTTTAATTAAGCATTCAGCATCTTCAAAATGGCGCTGTGCAATAAGGGTTTGCACTTCCTCATTGGCTGTGGATATCCATTCGGGACCGAAGTTTTCTGCAGCCTTAATCTGAGTCTGAGCACTATAAGGGCTAAGATCAATTGAAGGATGCTTGTTGCTGATAGGAGTTTCTTGCGACTTGCGTTTCGGTGGTTGTGGAGCTGGGCCTTTTTTGGATTTTTGACCAGGCTGATCCCAGCGAAAAGCCACTTCTAATTGTTCTATCCACTCTTTCTTGCCGGCTGCTGTTATACTTTGAAATATCTTGGAGCCGTCCGGTGTGATAATATTAATGGCATTCTTAACACCATCCAGGTCTTTGATATTGATGACCGCAATTTTTTTCGGATCGTAATCAACCACATATTCCAGTTTTCTGAAAACAAAGTCGAGGCAATATTTGAATGGAACGCGCTACGATGTGCACTTACTTATCGTGTTTCACTTTGCAAATTATTAGGACATCGTTAAATAAGAAGAAGAATACTCTCTGGATGGGCCTGTAATCATTATTATCCAATTCCATTAAAGCACCTTCGTATAAAAATGTTTTCCCTTCCAGTTTTCCAGTAAAGTTTTGAACCATCTCCTTAATGACACGAGTAGCATGAGTATTCTCATTTTCCTGTAAAGTTTCTATATCCTTTTCGCGTTGAGTGCTGACACCTTTGCCATCGGTAAGACATGATAAAATATTATGTTGCTCTTGTAACAGTAAAGACATTTGAGTCATTTCAGATTCAAGATCTATACACAAAATTGTGGGAATAGTGATAAAAAGCGGCAAGATTTATAAGAGTACTTACGTGATATCTCTTTGGCGGTTTCAATAAATTGCATATAATTTGCATAAACCGATTTCTTTAGCGTGGATGAAGTCTGATCTCGGTACGTATGAATTTCTTTTTTACATTTTTGCAAGTCGGCGCCACCAACACACTCTTTTACTAGTTGCTTTGTATCTATGACATAAAAGATTTTTTTACTTGCATGCTGTATTTATATTGTGCAGTCAGTTGTGTCTGATTACTCGTCGTCAATAATAAGAAAAAGGAAAAATCGAGCTTTTTAATCCTTTAAAGTTCCTTAATAATTGTCTTTAGATTTGTTTGCAATTACAAAGCTATATAATGAAATGAGACATCGACTTTTTATTTTCCTAGGATTTAATAAGCATCTCTATCAAATGTTGTATTGTCACAAAGGTAATGTTTATGCAGACGTTTACCCTGTGTGTTTTAAATTCTATGCCCCTTTTGTCATATGTACAAAGTGCTAGATGCGAAGTGAAACCGTTTTAGTTTCTTGTCCTCTTCATATTGCTGAAGTTCACGGCATAACTCGAATAACAAAATGGGCGTATGTGTCGCGTCGAAAACATGGACAATAAGAAATATTTAATCTATTTTGCCGGATAAGACTAAAAAATCAACAGTCCAACAATTTAAAGATGAGCCCTTGTATATATGTATAACGAACAAAGCTATTTGTTTGCTTGAATGCATACTTACACTTGTCTACACTAAAATTGATGCTATCGAATTCCTTCATCAATTCGCCCATTATTTATAAGTTTAACTCCTTTTTTTTCCAAAATTCACAAGATTTAAGTGTGTAGGCTACAGCTAAGACTTGCTTTAATAACAATACCATGATATGTCAAAATCAGCTGTTCTTAAGGAGACGATTTCAGAGTTTCTAAGAGATTGAAAACGTAAAGGACGATTTTTTGAAGCCTCAAACAATTATGACGTGATATAGTTTTGCATTTTAAAATAAAAGTCCTCAACTATGTCGAAGCACTACGAAAGATGACACCAAATGTTGCTTAAAATCCTTGAAGAAATTTTCTTTTTTGCGGACGTATGTAATACCCAAAAAGGGATTAATATAGATTCACCTTTTATTGCATGGATCGATTCAGAAAATGATTCTAAATCTCTGATTTCATGTCTGCCCATGTTAGTCCCCGTGTTCAATCTATTAGTCGTAATTTTTTAAATATATTGATGGAATTTGGTGTACTGACGTGCTTTATTTTACCCAAGTATGTAAGCATTCTCAGAAAATGTAAACTCTTGTGTGCAAAAAAGCTTTAGTCGTTAAGCTCTTGTGAAGAAAATTTGTTTATGAAAAAATTAAGTGGCCAAGATTTGAATCGCATGGATCCATTTCTTACGTTACGTTTCGATACGTTATGGTGAAAATTAGTCGACAGTAGCTGAATAACCAAGAAAATCAACAGTAGGAAATTTGGATTATACAAGTCTAGTTTTTGGTCCGTAACATAGATAAGTGTTCTCATGTAACGAAGTATAATTTCTAATTTGTGGAAACTGAGAAATAAAAAAAATATTGGGAAGTCGTATGATGTTTTGGGCCTCGTTCAATATCCGAACTTCCATGGAAAGCATGTCTTTGCATGAAACTAATGTGTAATTTTTGATACGAGAGTTTTTCAAAAAGTCGTGCAAGTTATGGAACAATCAATAATGGTAAAGCGTTTGTGATGATATCGTTAATTTTTTTAAAATTCTTTTTGTGCAAATCAACTTCGAAATGATTATCAGTTTTCACATTAATTTTGGTATTGTAATTTTTGGATTGATTTCTTAGTTTTAGCTTCTCAAACCACAATTTAATCCTACCAATATTAGTGCTATTTCGCTAAATGGTCAAGGAAAGTGATAAGCCTGCCTATAAATACGATCAGAGTAGAGTAAATAGAGGCGCTTTGTTTTTTGAAGAAAATTATAAATGACGCTCAAGCCTTAGAGGGATACTACAAAAGAGCTTTCGACCATTGTACATCCGGTTAAAATCTAATAAAGCTTATCGCTAGTAAACGGGGAAGTCTGCTCCCTTAAAAAAGCCTTAACAATTTCTAAGTCTCGAGCCCGCTTAAAAATAGACTTTGCTTACTCGACTTTTTGCAATTTAAGCTTCCAAGATGATCTCCTGGACTAACAATCTCCAATCCAATTCTCCTTTTACAAAAATTTTATTTAAATGAAATTTGATTAAGAAAAACATTTCTTTTAACACGAATTATTTTGTTTTATCACGATTTTCGATATTCTATGAATTTTTTTAATTAATTATTCTGATTAATTTTTTTTTTAATGTTTCTATGAATTTTTCAATCTCACTCCGTTAAATTTTTTTTTTTTTTTATTATTTTATTTTACTCATTTATACATGATATTCAAGTAAAGAAAATTACAGGCGGATTCGGTGTATTTTAATGGAAAATCTTATACTAATCGTTTTTAAACTAGCATACAATAAAAAGGAAGAAAAAAAGAAGAATAATAATAACAAAGTAAGTTTAAAACTAAATTAAAAAGTTAAAAATAATAATTTATGCATAAATAAATAAAAAAGGGTAAGAAAAAACAGCTTGTACACAGCTAGCACAGAAGCACACCCGCAACAAGAACAGATCCAGGTTGCAAGTGAACTCCTAAACCATTGCAAACTTGCATAAGCTTGGCAACCAACACGTTAACAACACAATGTTATTTCAAATAAAAAATGAGAAGTTAGGGATTGTTGCTTTAACAGACTTTAAAGAGTCCGATAATGAGAATTGCATGTTCAACTCTATGCTATTTACAGAAAGAACGTAATACTTTATGCTAATTACAGAAATACTTTATATTAATTGCAAAGGCGTCGGCAAGAGTCCCCCATTTTCATTAACAATAAACTCTAGTACACAGGGCTGTTATTTTAGGTAAATCGATAATTGTTAATAATTAGTATTTAATTGTTAAAAGTTAATGATTTTTATGATGAGTATTTGATACTGGAAGTTTATTGCATTTATTGTATTATTGAACCATTTAACCTTTTAACAGAGCTGCCATTTTTTATAAGAAACTCTGCTTTGCCTTTTAACAGGGAATTTAGCGAAGACTTTGTTTAAAAATTATGACGGTTTAATTTTAAGCTACCTTGTAAAATTAAAGAAATTACGAAATTATATACTAGGCGTTAGTCAATTATTGATGCTGCCCAAGATTAATAATAAAATTAATAAGGTAAACAACAACACAATTCCCCTTATATTTTTACACAAATAACAACAAACATCGACCAATTCAGCCAGTCAATTTGTTTGGAAATTTCAAAACAAAACGCATACAAATCCCAAACACTCATCTCTTTAGGAGATTCTTCTAGTGCATCCTTCATTGAAAGTGCTATACCCATCCATCGACATTCTTTTGAATCAAATTGAGTTACACTCCCCATTTGAATCAAAACAACGACGCCAATTATTTCGATGCATCAATATAAAAATTCTTGGATCACTTTTCGGAGAAAATTTTTTCAATATTTTATTTTTATTGGATATTTCAGTTGGAAACAGTTTAAATCCTATCGAGCTATTTCGTAAACCTTAGCTTTTTAAGGCCCCAACCCGCTCAACTAAAATATCCGGTTTTCTGCATTTTTGTGTGAACAAGGCTTCATCATGTTAATGCCCTGCCTTTTGCATCAAACCATTTCGTAATTCAATTTCTGTTCATTTCCAAAGAAAAATCAAAACATGTGAAAACAAAACATACGCCAAATTAGCTTGATATGTCTCGCAGCCAGGCATTACTTTTTGTACATGGGTACATCTTCAAGTATTCCGATTACGGACGAGCATTCAGTCAGAAGTCGATGTGCTTCAGTAGCCGAATAGCGTAAAGCCCAATACTTCAGCTAATAATCTGAAATGTTCCAATGCGAATTTTCATAAACATTTACATAAACATTTTTAATTTACGTTCTGAATGGGCATGTCAAGGTCAATTAAGCGCTAAACCACATGCAAAAATTCTTCGGAACTTTTTAAATCTGTAAAGAAGTGGTCGCCGTAGATATCTGTGAAATCTCATAATTTACAACAAATATTTTGGGGACAAATGAGTAAAAGTAACTCACTCACATATTACTATCTTAACGACTAGAAAGTTTCAAACCGTTTCTCTTATTACAGATGCAGACTCGATTTCCCGCCAGCTAAGGCAAGGCGTCTCCTATACTCTGCCCATACTTCACACATTTCGGCTTGATACATAGTGTCGCAATGGGGATCGATCGGTACTTCCCATTTACACACTTTCTGGCACTCGGAATAGGAGGGATAAGGTGTGCGTTCCTTTTTGCAATCAGAAAGAGAACTAGTTATTCTGCAATTAGGAGGAATACGCGGACTAGCACACCCTTCTGCCTTGAAGCAACATTCTGCCCTTTGTTGTTGGAGTTGTTTTGGATAAAGACCCTTACACGGCAACAGCCATCTATGTCTATTCGACAATTTGCAAGCAGTTTTTTTGCACATTTGATTATCCACTCCCTTCTTTCCATGTATTTCTTCTTTCGTTCGCGTCGGTCTTGTGGGCATCGGTTTTATTTGATGATGCTCGGGACATACTTTTATATCTATCGTAGTGATTGGAGGGCAAGAAACCCATGTTTGTGGGTAATTGCGTTTCTTATCGCTCATCTGATAGTAAAATTCATCCAAGCGAGGAGGCTGGTCTCTGCAGACTCTACCACAGCATATGGGATATTTCCACATACCTTTTTCCTCTGGACGAGCGTAGCGTTCGGTAGGCAGCAATTCTTTCCCCAAGCAAACGAATGGATCATCTGGATCGCATTTGAGCTTGATAATTTTAATACACTTCAGATTCTTCATTAATTTCTTCATGATCTTTGAACCTCTTCTTCCCCCTGAATTATATCTTCTGCTGTCTTTTTGAGATGATATTGATGCAAAAGGCAAACGGCAAGCAACATAATTAGCACATCTCGAATACATTGTTCACTGCTGAATTTATCTGGTTTTACGAAAAGAGAAAATTTTGTATTTATGAATTTTTAAATCAAAAAATGTATAGTAAATAGAAAAAGAAATATTTGTTGTATTAACGTGAAACAGAATCGATGGAAATAATTAATATAATATTAATAATTTTGTGAAGTTTTTGAATTTACTGTTTTGACAACATATACAAAGAAGGATTGACGATTGCAAAGTGTACGGTTAATAATAATCATAAAGCGATTGTGGCCGGTTGGAGTCCATACTTATAGCAAAAATTTGGCGACGTATCAGAATGGGTATTACATGGACAAGCAGTTTTTTACTAATATTGCCTTAACAATTGTTGTTAGAGGTTGTGCGCCTAGGAAGGAGCGCTTATTTCAAACGTGAAGCTTTTTAAAAGTTTTTAACCTTACGAACTTTAAAATGAACATGTTACTAAAAATGGAATTTATAGAAACACGTCATACTCGAGTGTAGTTGTAAAAAGGAAAGTAAGACGAGATAAATATATGGCTCTCTTAATTACTTATTTATTTTACTTTTCATAGGAGGTAAAGCTTTGCGAATATTTTCCTTGGATAAATTGCTTCGAATTCATAGAAAGAATATAAATTCACTTCCCATTATGACTGATAATAAGATGTGAACCCCAAAAAATATTGAAACCCGACTAAACGAAACCCTCCAATACACCTTGCAATTTCAATCCTTGCAATTAACGTAATGGGCAATAGTCAGAACAGCGACATATATTCTGATTAAAGATGAACATTTCTTAATTATCATTAGACTATCTTCTTTTCCTTTTTAACAAGAGACATAACGACATTTAACATAATCATCTAATAAAATAACAAATTTTTCATTGTATTTCACTTTGTTTCGTTTATTGCATTGTAATTAATATAAATAAGATTCGACATTTTATTACATAACTATTACAAGCAATTTCATTTAATCGCCTTAGCTTCTTAATATTCAATTTCGTTATGCTAAATTTCGAATCTTATTTATATAATTTTGTGCCAATGGATTCTTAATTCCATTTTCATTGAAAACTGTAATTCGATCTCTGGACTACCTGCTGCAACATTGTCGACAACTTCGCATTAATCGGTTGTAAGAATTCCCGCAACAACGATCGTAACTAAAGAAACGAGTTGTTGTTTTATCCGGCTATTTGCCAATACAAAAATCTTTAAAAACAACATCAAGAATATTATCAGTGCTAACATGACCGATGATTATCTCTATACATCTGATAGCTTGGCGCAATTTTTGTGCGGATATCGCCATGTCCTTATAGATTTCTGGCGAATAATTGGTTAGAAAAAGCGTCATATGCTGAACGCATTGTTCCAAAAGTTGGCGGTAACGGACATGGCTGAGACGAGGAGCTTCAGCTAAAGGAGTACCGCATCTGAAATATACGAATGATAAGGTTTCATTGACATTTACAAAATAATACTTACAGTTCCTTGAGCAGATTTTCAAATGCATTTAGAAATTCCTTAACTTCTCCGTTTCCTTTACAGGAAATGCATATCAATTCCGGAATTTTTTTCATAATTTGTAGCTCTTCAGGATTGAGTAGATCTGCTTTATTAGCTATAAATTGTACACGCCTTGGTGCTAAAAGCATACTTTCATGTAAATCTAAGTTTTGATAATGCTTTTTAAGGTAATCATCCAGTATTTGTTTGGTATGTACTTGATACTTATTTAGTTCCCATGCATCTAATAGAAAAAGTATAAGATCGGCTTGTTGTATACACTTTTTGGCTCGTTTAATACCCTCTAGCTCAACTTGATCCTGTGTTGTAAGCCGTAGACCGGCAGTGTCGGTAAATCGTACTGGATAACCACCAAAATTATGAGTTAACTCAATTATATCTCGCGTAGTACCGGCGATCTCGGTTACTATGGAAACTTCGCGTTGACACACCAGGTTCAGAAAACTACTTTTTCCCACATTTGGGGCTCCCGCAATTACTGTACGTACTCCATCGCGTAAAATTTCACCTCGACGTTGATCGTTTACATGATCGCTAATTTGCTCACGTACAGCCTTCAAATCATTAGTAAGATTAGTTATTACATCATCTTCAATGTTTTCGTCTTCGGCAAAGTCTATGTATGCCTCCAAATGTGCAGCACATCGTATTAAAACTTTCCGCCAATTGCCATACAACCTTGAAAGGGAGCCACTGCTTTGCAATAGAGCCTATAGAAGAATGTTTTAATTTATTATTTTTTTATTTTATTTATTATTAAAAAACAAAATCTTACTTGTTTTCTTTGCGCTTCGGTTTCGGCATGTATTAAGTCCGCTAATCCATCTACTTCTGTCAAATCTAATTTATTATTGATAAATGCTCGCCTTGTAAATTCTCCTGGTACAGCGGGTCTCAGGCCGGGCAGCTTTCCCAAATTTTCTAACAAAGCTGCAATGACGGCCGTAGATCCGTGTACCTGAAATTCGCAACAGTCTTCGCCAGTGTACGACGATGGGCCTGGAAACCATAGAACTAGACCTTTGTCTATCATTTCTGTTGTTTCCGGCCTATATAAAGCACGCAAGTAAGCGACGCGAGCTTTGAAATCATTTTTATTGCCAACGATAGCACGAAGTGCTTCTCTAGTGTGCGGTCCCGAAACTCGTATCACTGAAACACCACATTTACCATAAGCCGAGCTCAAAGCAAATATTGTTGCGTTTGCTTCGCTCATATATCGTTTAGCAGCCACAACCACAATTCGATTTAGAAACATTTTGTCACTACTAACATCTGCAAATGCAGCCGTTGTAAACAAGCATCAGCTGTTTTGCTGATATGCCGCAAGCGTTGCAAAATAGAAAATAAGTCATATTTTTTTTATTTTGCAATGCTGGCGTTTCCACGCTTTGGATAACGGGTGTGTCGTAATGCAATACCAACGCTGCACATTACTTAAGGGAAACATATTTTTTAATCTACATCTGGATCTGGCTTTGTAGGATGACCAGGCGGTAAGCGAAGAGAAAGACGTCTCTTCAACTCTTGCCAAGCTGCACACATTTCGACTTTTCGATCTGTAGTGCAGTGGGGATCCATACTTGTATCCAATCTACAAACCTTCTGACATTCGGAGTAACAGGGGTAAGGTGCGGGTTCTTTTTTGCAGCGAGCAAGAGACGGCCCAATGGATATGTGGCAGGTAGGGTCGGGACGCGCGAAATCACATCCCTCCGCCTTATAGCAACATGGCATTCTATGTTTTTTGGGAAAAAGGCCTTTACACGGCAACCACTCTCTATGTTTATTGGACACTTTGCGAGCTATTCCGCATAGTTGGAGTTCGTCCCTTTTCCGTGGGGGATATTCTGTCTTTGTTCGCCTAGGTCTTGTTGGCATGGGTTTTGTTGGAATTTCCGTCGAGCACATTTTTACCTCGATTATCTTCAGTGGAGGGCAAGATACCCACGTTTGTGAATATTTGCGTTTTTTATCGCTTGATTCGTAGCAAAGTTCATCCATTCGAACGCTCAAGTTTCCGCAGGTTCTACTGCACCATTCAGGATGTTTCCACATGCCAGTTCCGGGATATGTGGCATGTAGATTTTTCTTCGCAAGTGTTTCTTCTCTTCTTTCAGAATTGGGGTCGCATCGGGGCTCAGTAGCTTTAGCGCATTTCTTCCGTAAATTATACCTGTAGCTGATTTGCGATTTATATTCTGAATTGTACCTTACGGACTCTTTTAGGAATAGGCTTGCTGTGAATGGCAGACGGAAGCCAAGATAATTAGCACATTTCGAAAACATTGTTTTATTCCAAATCCTTTTTCTTTCTTTCCTAAAAAGAAAATTTTGAATTTTTAAACTATTAAGGTAAAAAAGAATAGAAAATAGAATAAGCCAAATTTCCAATTTAATGCGGAATGAACGACGCCTAAAATTTTAAATTAATAATCAATAATCAGTAACTTTATATTTTTTATTTGTGAAAAAGTTGACAGAGTAGCTCCAAAGTATTTTTAGTCGAAAATTGGAATTGTCTCCTTTATTGTTTCTCAACTTATGATAGTATCATGATAATACGAAAAGGAAAAAATAGAATAAATACAGGACGAATTTGCAAGAGGCTGCGTGATATTCGCCATTATTATTTGGTTTCTCATGAAGTCTATCAGACACAATGTTTTTATAAAAATGAAATTGGATATGACGCTTTCGTGAAAACCAAGTATTATTAATTGGATTTTAGGATTTAAAGTATTATCAGTGATGGGAAGATCTATATTTTTTTTAAATATATAATACTTTTTTGTTTTTTTGTTTGGAAAAATAGAATGGCTCAGTTAATGAGCTAAACGATTATTCAAATATTATTATTGCGAAAAAGTCGGTTTTTTTAAATTAATTTGTGGTTCGCGGGTATTTTGTAGTCGCTTTCTCAAATCGAATGAAAATATTTTATTTGTGAAAAAACCCCAAAAAAAGTTTTCTCAAATTGATCATTGCGTTTATTTCATTTGACTTTCCATTGTAAAATCAATTACAATAATTTCATAATACTTGGAACTTTGAATTGTCAACAGGTGTTGAAAGTATTTATTCTAAAATTTATACGCATTAATATTAACAATAGTATTAAAGGCCGAAAATAATAAGAACTGGTGGAATACGAGAATTCGCTTTGGATAACTCGGATTGACTTTTTTTGTGAAAAATATCAGTTTCAATGTCTTGAACAAGAAAAAGAAACTTAAAAAAAAATTACTGAATTCATGGACGAATTTGCTGAATAACAGAAGAAGAAGAAGGTCACGCGGTGCGCTATAATTTTGTTTTGAAACACTAACTTTTCTCGGATCGGGAAGAAGAATCCTTATTTGCTTATTGGCAATTATTTCAAATATTACGCTGAACTGTGATAAAAAACCCTGTGAAAGTTTTCAGAAGTGACACCTTAATAAATTTTCGATATTTGAAATCTAAAATTCAATACGAAATCATTTCAAAATGGAAAACACAAACAAAACTAGTAACTGTTTCTACAAAATAGCTAATACAAAAAGTGCATTATGTCCAAATAAGAGAAAAGACAACAAGTAAGATATCTGGAAAAGTGTCACATCGCAATTTGGAAAAAGGAAAAACGTTACATTCCACTTGCGGAGCTCATCTCACTCAAAGAACATCACTACACACTCCGTCCTCATTCCATTTCATAATTTGGCTGCTTATCATCTCTAAATATACAGAACTTAATTTGAAAAATATGGTTTGGCCACAAGGCCGCACCATCTCCCTCAAAAGTAGGGACATTAAAATCCCCACGCGCAGAGTTTGCTCCCAGGGAGAAGTGATCATAGTGTGTTTGTTCAGTCCAGAAAAGTTGCTTTGCCACCGAAATATTTAAATTTTTAAATATTTGAAGTTTTTCCTGGATGTAAGCAAACGTTAGAAAGCGTTTGACAGAGTCGATCATCATTTTTTACTTCGAAAGCTAAGGAGATTGGTGATTTCTGACATCGGTGTGCAGTGGTAATTATCTATCGAAAGGTACGGAAAGGTGTTTTTTTTCGTTTTCCTTATTCAAGATTGATTCAGGTTTTGCTGGGGTTGCCTCAAGGTCACTTTGGCCCGCTTATGTTTACGATATTTTTAAATAATTCTTCTATATGTATCAAGGAGTCTAGGTGCTTGATGTTTGCGAACTAACTACAAGCCATTGTGTCTTTTAACTTCAGTCAGACGTCAATAAATTGATTGAATGGTGTAGGGTGAACGGTACGTTACTAAACTTGAAAAAATGCTATAAGCTATCCTGTTGAATCATATTGAATCATGATGCAGTAAAGCTGAATCGCGTCTGAGATTTATTAAGAGACGAGATAAAGAATTCTATGGCCTTATGTTATAAAATATTATGTTATATATTGCTTTTGCTCGACCAATTTTGTAATACTCATCTGACACTAAGTTGCAGATGTCACATTGACTTAATCGAATCCGTATAACAACGCTTTATACTCTTTGCGCTATGGGGTTCAGGCTGGTATTCTTATTAGGAGCTTATGAAAACTGGTTGATGCTCATTGACATACCCACCCCGGGACGTAGAAGCACGATAGTTGGCGGGTTGTCTTAATTGTTAAATTAATCGAAGTTATAATATATTCCCTGTTTCTACTTCAGGGAATCGCTTTTAATAAGCCTGGTAGATTTACGAGGCACTATGAAGCAATTTACTCGTCACACTGCCGCACAGCTACCTTTCAGGGTACTTTGTACTATATATAATACTAGTCTGTCTTTCTTTGATTCTCACTGGGTTCTATATAACGCTGCTGTTTTATGTATACGCCACTAGCATCCTTACTTCCATCTTGCTGGTAACACACCGATTCCTTTTTCTGGTTACCGAATTATTTCTATTTCATGAGGATCGCTATGATTCTTTCTATAACCTAGTTTTTGGTTACTTTTTCATTTCTACAGCAATAATGCTTGTCACGTTTTGCTATTTTTGTTTACCTATAAATTATCGTTTGTATCGGCTGATAAATTTTTGCACATAGCTGAATAAATAAATAAACGAATAAATAAGATAGAGGGAGTGATGAGAAACATGTAATGGTTTATAATGCTTTTTTCTGACGTGGAATAAGGGACCTTAAAAATATAGGGGCCCAACAAACGGGTTTCCCCTCTAATGGTTTAAAGCATTCGCTGACCATTATTTATGATCAATTTCCCTAACAAAATCAATAGAATAAATAAACGCGGTGGACATAAAGTCCAGTTCTACTTTCTAAGACATTCGCCACCACAACGGGAATAACTTAATGCTTAAATATATCTCTCCTAAGTCCTCATTGGAACTCCCTATTTAGAAACCGTTTTAAGGTTTTAGTGATGGGAAAATATTGATAATCAGATGCGATGATGAACATTGATGTTTGATCCGGTAAAAGCGGATGAAGCGTTGTTTTAAGATTTCCAACATTCTCACCAATCATGGGAAGTAAAATTTATGAAACAGCAATACAAAGTAAAAAGACTCCTCAATAAGACCTCAACGAGTAGTGAGGTCAACAGAGGGTGAGATAGTTTACATATCCAGAAAGGTAACACACAACTAAAGACGCGCCTGCCGGTTTAGAGAATTTTGATAAAGCTAATTGAAGTCACCCTCCAAAGCGCCACATCACGACCGTGGATGTATTCAATTATTTAAATTGATTCAATTTCTGAAAGGAGAGCCCGAATTTCCGACTAAATGGAGCGCCAAATGAATATGTCTAAGTTGTTGCGTAGTTCGCTAGTAAATCGTACGTATATTTAGCGGTGAAAGTGGTAGTTTTTAGGATTTTTATACTTAGTAGATTATTGGGGACGTCTGCTCTGTTTATAAGTTACACATTCAGTAAGCGCGTATGAGAAGCACCCATTAGCCTTTAGGGACATACTAGAATTGATCTTAATGGATGACGCCGCCAAGATGGATGCAGATGCAGTTTATTATTTTACGTATGAATGGCGAAGAGAACGGATATAATAGCCGATAAGAATAGAGAACATAATTATTGTAATTACAAAGACTTTACTTTCAAGAAACAATAGCAATGTCAAATAAAAATCAGTCGCAATCCAGTTTTCGACTATCAATGAGGAGTCCAAAGGTTAAAAAAATGAGTCCATAACTAACAGAAGTCCAAATAATTATTTATAACAATATACCTACTTGAAAGATACCGATCTACCGGACTGAGATTCGAATCCGCGACCACTGGCAGCCTTGGGTATTATCCATATGCGGTGTTCGACTTATCCTTTCATATGCAGCACGGACCTAATTTTAGTCCCGCAGAAACTGAAGACGCACCCTAAAATTGTACTATGGCCCGCAAAACCATTTTTGCTGGCCAAAGTCAATTTTTTTGACATTCTCCAATTCTTGTTTTATTATTGGAATCTGATGGCAAATACTCCAAAGCAACAGAAAAATAATTTTGTTATCGTAACAGCCAAGTGACAGTTACACGATAAGTCGTCAAATTTGAAATTGTTTGATACATTTATAATCAGTAGTAGTATGGTTGTTGTTTTATAGTGCTTATTACCAGAAAAGAACGGGAGCAGTTAAATTGAGTTAACATGGAGATGAAAGGCATGTGCATCAATTTATTAATACGAAATACATCCAACGTAATTGGTATAAAAAATGATATCACTTGTCTCAGAAGCCTTTTCAAGTTTTATAATTTACTTGATTTGCTGAGTTTATCTAAGCTTTGACAATTTTGTTTAAGATTGTTAAGCTTAATATTACAAACCGAAATTGGTTTACGGTTCTCGATAAACGTACGTGTGGTCTGCCATTGTCGATAGGAAGAAGGGAAGGTGAAAATTCTCGCGGTGATCAGTTCTTGACCTTTTATGTCAACATTATTTATTATAATATTATATTATTAATATATATATATATTGTAGTGTGACCGCATACCGTCGTATGCATCCACTACAATACATATAGTATTACACATGTATATCTTTGTCATTATTTTATATACATAATGTTTTTGTTGTAGCAAAGCACTCTGTGTCCCTCCCTCTCTCTTGTTAATACAAAAACACAAGCAAAAAAAAATAATAGCGTTTTATTTTCTTTTCGATCTCTACATGTCATGTATTCTACAATATTCTGGATTTTCCTAATCTTTTTATAGCTTATTTTCATTGAAATTTATTGAAGTAATTGGTGGGTATAACATTTAGAGTTCTTCAATACTAAATAAGTAAGGAAAGGAAAACAACTCAAATTTTCTACTTGCGTCCTGTTTGGTTTTTTTCGTATATTCGCAATTAAATGCAAACCATCGCCTATATCGCCTATATTCGCTTAAGAACACAGAATTGGACATGTTTCTGCTTTGTAAACGTTTGAGAGAGTGTAACAAAATAGCCAGAAACTATGGACAGAAGCTTTGCCCGTACATGGGAGTGGAAGAGTAAACAATCACTCGCTGCTAATAAACACCGCTACTACTGTTGTTAATAACAGAACCAGAAAAAGTCCGTAATAATCTCCTAGTTTGAATTTTGAACGGAATGGTGGACCATCTTATCATTCAGTTTTCTCTGGTTAAAACCTAATGACATATAATTTTTTCCTCTTCTCTCACTATTGAACAATCACCTATGCAGCTTTGCACGTGGGATACATGCTTTGTACTTGCATAGTTTTAATAATTATATATATTAAACGCATTTCAATTCCTAAGACACCTTCGCAAAACACTATCGATTAAAGAAAAAATATATGTTTTGATGCGTTCCTGTATATGGGGAGTGACGCAAGATTTTTCAGAAGTACTGATTTCTGCGTAATTTATTAAGGAAAAAAAAAAACCCGTTATATTTGGTTATGGTCTCTCATTAAAGACTATACACCACTAAGCTTAATGATGTTGTTCATACAACGACTGCCTTCTATGGGAACTAGTCGAAGTAGTTCTCCGATGCGAATCATTTTCAATAACGTTCGTTCTTGGACCAAACAGATCGGGGAACTAAATTTCACCTAAATATCTTGAAAATTACGACCTGCATGTTGACACAAGGAAGACCGATTCGCCGAGAAACAAACTTAAATCGATGCAGAAAGTGATTTTCAATCTTTTTGGATATATTTCAAGCCCTACTGTGTGTTGCAGATATTCGCACAAACGTAATGTAGCCCTGTGTCACAAATAGTGTAGGGTATAGAAAAATCATCGATACTTTCAGATGATTAGATTAGCAATAGGGAACCACAAGTTGGTTAAGAGGTAAGACGTTAAAAATTAGAAGCTTAACTTGACAAAACATGGGAGATGCGATATAAACAATTGTTGCAGTCAACTAGTTAGTTTCAGCTCTCATAAGTTCTTAATACAAGACGGATGTTGGCAACTAGAAAACAAGCTATCAGTAGTTTTATATGAACTGGTTAGCAATGACGTTACTCTTTATTCAATGGGTGCTATGTGTAATGACGATTACGGTCGTAAGTGGTACGTATGCGAAACGGGAAAGAAAATCTTTCACACAAATAAAAAGTGTTTTATGGTTTTTCCTTTAAAATGGAATGATTTAAGTTGCTGTTGTTCTTGTTTTCTCATAAAGCTAATGAATGTGCACTTAACAGTCAATGCGTACCTATAGCTGATTGCCCGTTTATCCGAGATAATTTCAATTTAATCAAAAGGAAGCCCTATTGCAATTTGGAAAGTCGTGGTGCAAATGTATGCTGTAGGAAATCATCACAAAATTACACCCAACCGAAATATGTTGATTCGCGTGTCGTAAGAGGTACAGTAATTAATTTCTATACTGACGTTCTTAAAAATCTTTCGTAAGTATCTTTCATGAGCATGGATAACACATGTCTGTCCGTTCCTCCGCATGCGTGCAAGCATTATAATAACAAAACAAACGTTATTCTAAAAATATTTTTTTTAAATTGAAAACCAGATTGAAAGAGACGGCGCTGCTGCGGAGGTTTTCTAGTTAAGATTAGGTCACAAGACATAGCTTAGATAGCATATTTTGATTGTGCCAGTCTCATGCACATATGTTTATAAAACATATTTGCTTCACTTTTAATGTATATTTAAAGCATCTTGCGTTTTCCCTAGAGTGCAGATCCTATGACAGTGTGCCAAGTCTACAAAATCCATTAGAAGAAGGATGTCACTACACATCTAACATCGTTGGTCGCTCAAAAGCGGAACCTAAAGAGTTTCCTTTTATGGCATTAATACACACTAAAAAGGGAGACGTGATTGCTAAGCTTTATGGTGGTGCTTTGATTAGCAAAAAATATTTGTTAACATCCGCTTCCGCTTTCGGCAGCAGCGAGTAAGTGAACATAGATTTCTTGAAGGTTCCTACATAACAAAACCGTTATTTTCATTTGTAAGTCCTCTCACTTACTGGGTGCGTTTAGGAGAATTGGATCACGGTACTAATTCGGATGACGCTTTGACGCAAGATATTAAAATCAAAAATTTCATACCTCATCACCAATATTACAAGACTAAACTATCTAAATTCCATGATATTGCTTTGATCGAATTGGCAAAAGAAGCAATCTTCAATGATTACGTTCGTCCTGCGTGCCTATCTCTGGTGGATGATAATGATTTTCGACAATTTCTATTTACTGGCTGGGGTTTTCCTAAAAGGGAACCTTCAACCCATTTACATAAAATGAAATTAGATCGTCTCGAGGATGCTAAATGTTTTGATATGCTCCAACGCGATGGTTGGGAAAAAGATATTAACAATCGTACAAATATATGTGCGACCCCTTCTACTGGCGACATCGGTAACTGTCTTGGAGATGGCGGTAGCCCACTTTTTGCGAATCACCCCGAGTTTCCCTGTCAATTCCTCGTAGTAGGCATCTTGTCATACGGTCGCGGATCGGCTTACACTGCTTGTGGAACTAAAGACGATCCTACTGTTTACACCAGAGTCAAATCATATATCGATTGGATACAACCTATCGTTTGGGACTAGACTTAAAAATGAGAATGTTTTTAATAATTTACTTGTACACAAATAACGTCAGGTGCGTGTGCACATTAAAATGCGTTTTTGTAACACGCTAGAATTGTATGTAGATACCACAATTTATTAGTAAATTTTCCTTGATTTAATTTGAAACTTCGTCAAACCGAAAGGCTGACTTGTTTCTGTATCTTCAGTAAGTTATTAATATGAAAGGCTATGCGATTTGTCTACCTTGGTTTTTATATCGTTTTGGTCTTAGAACAAAGGCTAACAGAGATAAGCTTCAGAAAAGTAATTAAAGCATATAAATGTTAGCATTAAAATGTAAGCGGAAGAAGAGAGCATGTTCACCTTTCGACACTTCGTTGAGTTTCTTGAACGTTGAGGTTAACGCATTGAACATATCCTACTCCATTTTCTAGGGAAGGTTCTCTTCAGCCAAAATATACAGTGTGCTTTAATTGGATCCTCTCCTCTTCCTCTCGACGAGCAGACCTCGATGTTTGTTATATACTACAGAGGCAGTATGCACGGTGGTTTTAGTCAATTAGTTCACAATTCTCCATCGGGTTAATAAGTTCTTATTACAAGACGGACGCTGGAAAGTATAAAAAAAATAAAAAAACCGATAATGTTAAATGATCGAATTAGCCACAGAGAAGTTTTTGTTGGGTTTAAAACTATTTAATTACTCTCACACCACCAGTTATAAGTTGTCTAAGAGATACAACATGTAAAGTTAGAGGCTTAACTTAACTAAGCATGACTAGTAGATAGTGATGATAATCAAAAATTTCTGCTTGCCGGCTGGAGTTATTCTCTATCTGAACCATCGTACCATTTACATACAACGAAATTAGATCGTCTCAATGATGGAAAATGTTTTCAATAATATCAATCGGTCACAGTGTTCGCGTAACTAAAAATTATCCTACTGTTTACACTGGAATTAAACTACATATCGATTGGATACAACGCACTGTTTGGGGTTGATTTAAAAAAAAAAAAACGCTTGAACGTGCATATTGAAATGCATTTTTGGAACTAGGCGCAGTTGCATATACACGGCTTACTTTATCGGTAAATTTTCTTTGTTTTACCTTGAACTTGCGTTATCTCGTTCTCTCCTACGATTTAATTTAATTTTTGAGGTTAAGTCAAACTATAACAGAGGTGAGATTGAGAAAGTTTATTAAGATAAACGAAAATTTACATTAAAAAGCAAATTGAAGAAATTTTTTCTTTTAAAAAATATGTATTCGTATGTACTTAAGATGAAAAGAATTCATTAAGCATTTGCTTACTTACATAAAGGAGTTAAGCACTATGCCAGATCTACTTGTTCTTTCCTGTAAATTAATGCTGGGCTGGATTACACGACACAAGTGGTCAAGTGGTGATCAAATCTGCTTTCAACGCGTGTAATAAATGCGTATACATATCACATGAAAATTTTTATGCAGATAGAAAATTTTTTATATATATTAAATATTTTAAATTTGCTTTGTGTATAAATATCTCGAACAGATGAAGCGATCATTGGCAATAACCGATTTAAGAACAGGTACGCAAGTAACTCCCACATGCTTTACAACACAATTTTTTCAACTGAATCTCTAAAGTATCTAAATGAAGAGCAACGTGATGCTTGCTGATCGAATCCATAGCCGTGCTCACTTAATTAAGATCATAACATGCAAGGACATTATAGCTGGGAAAGGCCGTCCATTAGATATCCCTACACCGCTATAGTATAATTATTCACCCATTTCAGTAACAATACGCCATAAGTTATACATTATTTCCATGCAAAGGCACACTTTTCCCTAAAGCCTGCATATATAAGGATGCCCGAAACATTACATGAAGCGATCCAAATGTTGAAAACTTATTATACTTTCTAAAAATTTTATTATTTTTCAGCTTCCGTCATAGAAAATTAGGCTCATAAGGGATGGTTTTTCCTGATAACTCCTATATATGCTGGGATTTAAAAAATAGACCTAAGTGATTCAAATTCCCTAGTATTAATTTTACTGCTAAATTGCTATTATGGACCAATATTCATCATAAAATTATAAAAACTAACCTTTTTCCTGCGGGACTTACTGTTCAAAAGAAAGTTTATATGGGATGGAGTCCCAGAAATAGAGTTAGTTGGCTCAAATTTGGTTGGCTCAATTTTTTAATTATATTACTGTGAGGAACGAATTTTCACCGTAAAACATCAACAATTAGACTTTTTTGGCATATAACGGCTCAAATTTTCTTAGAATCCTTCTATGCAGTGATATCCCAGAAATAAACAAATTCGGGAAGGTCGGCTTCTTTGTCTATTTACTGTTATGAATCAATTTTGACCATGAAATATTGTAAATTTCATCTTTTCACCAAAGAAAGAAAGAATTTTTGTAGAAACGGTTTTGAGAGGGGATTCAAAATTTTGGCACCGAACCCGTTTGAAATATCGAAGTAATAGTATTCAGCGTCTTTTATGAAGCAATCTCGAAAATTACAATATTTTGAAAAAGCTTCATACGGGGACTGGTCGGAAAAGTAGATCGATCCAAAAAATTTTGAAGAGCTTTCGTTCTTGAGCCAAGACGTTATCGAAATATCGCAAAAATTGCGTCCTCTAGTTTGAACACAAGAGACAGACAGACCGGACAGAGGGATAGACATGTGTACTAAATATTCTGAATCGGTTATAATTAAAGGTGAGTTTGTCTTAAGCCCTAAGGGCCTTAAGGGCGTTACGCGCCGTAGGGTATAATTAGTGAACAAAACTTGGTGCATAAAAGGGCATATGAGGTTAGTGCTACATTTGGCGCTCTTCGGAAAATTTTAAATTTCTCTCCGTTTTAATTATTTTTTGTATTTTTTATTATTGTGTATAAGAAATGATATAAAATAAAACAAGTCAGTGCTAAGTGACTTTTTTCTATTCCTCGCATAGCTTTATGGCAATATGTTGACCTTGTTACAAATCCGTTTATTAGAACTCTTACAAAAACGTATTCCAATTGGAAGTTTTAACACAAACTCACTAATCCTCGTTTTACTTTTTTAAACCCATCACGGATGAAAGAGAGTTATATTCATTTTGCCAAAACGTTGGCGACGCTCAGAAGGAAGTCGCAGTGACCCCCAAAGGAGTATTCATGATCAGAATCAAACTGTAAGCCGAATTAAACTTTTTTGTCCATCCGTGTGTTTATCTACCTGCTCGTGTAATGACTGCAGTATATATCTTCTTGATCACAAAAATGGTGATATCGACTTAGAATTTTGCAGAAAAATTGGCACTTCTTGCACGCAGAATAATATTGAAAATGGGGTTACTGGATGAAGAGGGGCGCCTACAGTGCAATATAAATTGACAACATCTCGCCTTTCGGGCTTTTTTGTAAATTACACACGAATTGTAACAGATAGACGATAGAAGTAGGATAAGGACGTTTAGTTTTTTCGGCTTTTACACAATTTGTGGTACAGGGTATGTTAAGTTTGTGCGGACGTAAATAACACATAGGATATCTAATAGTCGTCGTTGCCCGACTTTAATGTTTTTACTTGTTTAAATATATGTGTATCGTTTTTTCTAATTTCCCCAGAATGGAGATCGTACAACGTCTACAATGTCCACTGGGAGACGGATGTTACCGTACACCTAACAAGCTTGGTGGCATGAAAACGGGATTTTAAGAGTTTCCTTTTATGGTCTTAGTATATAGCAAAGATAGAAACGAATTTAATCACATTTGCGGTGGTTCCTTGATTAACAAAATATATGTCTTAACATCCCTTTTTTGCTTGCTTGATGGCGAATGAGTTTATCGTACACTAAATTTATTGAACGCTTTTACTTAATAAACTACTTTCTTTTCATCTCTAAGTCCTTCCACGCTTATGAAAATTGGATCGTAGCACTAAGGAAAATTGGATCATAGCACTAATAGGAATAGTGCTTTGCCCCAAGACATTGACATCAAAAATTTTATTCCTCACTATCAATATTACGATACTGTACTAACTAATTATTATGATAAGAATTATGTACGTTCTGCCTGTCTACCTCCAGTAGGTGATAATGATTTTCAGGATTTTCTGGCCCCCGGACGAAGTCGTCCTAATGAAACCTCTACTTCCGGTTCATCCCATTTACTGAAAGTGAAATTAGTTCGCCTCGATAATGACAAATGCTTTGACAAACTCAGGCGTGAACACTTACAAAATGGTCTTAACAATCGTACAAAATCTATGTACGATGCCTTCGGCTAGCAATATCAGTAGTTGTGCTGGAGATGGCGGTGCTTCACTTATTGTTAATTATTCCAAGTTTTCCTTTAAATTGCTCGTAGGCATTTTGTCATTCGGCACGGAGTTTGCGGATGTAAAGATTATCCAACTGTGTACAGCAGATTCAAATTATATATCAATTGAGTACAGAGTACCGTTTGGAATTGAATTAACAAAAAAAAAATGTTTAATCTATTTGAACATAAATAATATCACTTGTGTGTGCATTCACATTTCATTTACCCTTTCTCGGTAAAATTCCCTTGCATTACTTTGAAATTTCGCCAAAACGACTTGCTTCTGTATGTTTGGCAAACTTTTGATGTAAAGTGCCACGCGCTTTGGTTTACAACCTATATCTCTTCGGGTGGAATAAAAAAGAACTGTATAAATATAGAACTGCGAACTTAGTCACACAGAAAGTATGGTTTAAAAATAAACAAGGAAGAAATTTATTTGGCCCGTTTTCAATACCAATCTGTTTGCAAAGACTTTCAATGTTTTTACCAAATTTGAAGTCGATATCTTCATTTTTGCGGCCAGGAGAATGTTTACAACAGAATTACATAGACGGACAGACGGTCAGACGGACAGACGGTCAGACGGACAGACGGACAGACGGACATGCTTAAGTCGATTTAGAATTTGATGCTGACCAAGGATATGTATACACTGTGGGGCCTCTGATGCTTCCGTGTGGGCGTTGCAAATAATTTGACAAAGTGAATATACCCATAACCGAAGGATGAAAATAATAATTTAACGTACACCAGGGCAAGTATATATGTACCTTGATCAATAGTAGTAATTGACAAGAAAGTTAAAAGTGGACCAAATTTGAGCCACATGCATTTATTTCTCGGCT